CGATGATTTACATAAGCAATGGGGAATGAGAGAGGAACTATTGATTAAATAATCACATTTTAAGTTTTGATTATTGTTTCCAGCAGCTGTAGCTTTGACTAGCCTTCTCTTCCTCCCTGACATGTGCCCCAGGTTTTTGGTTTCTGTTTCATTATTCTGAAAATTGAAATCTAGTTTTGCAGCATCATTTGTTGAAGAGATGATCTCTTCCCCATTTAAGATGTTTCCGCCCTATAACAAAGCTCAGCTGTTGGGTGGTGGATGGGTTTGTATGCCTTTTGGCATTCATTACTCAGTCTTCTCCAATGGAAGGCTAACTTTGCTTATGAGAGCCTCACACTAATTATATACAAGAGGGCTTCCCAAAGCTTGTGGAAAAATGGAATGAAAAGATCATGCACTTTCCTTAATGAAGCCTCCTCATAATGTTTATTTGTTTTGTTTCAAAAGACAATATCTGCTGTGTGTATGGGTGTTCTCTTTCTAAACCCTTCTTAAAACAAGTCAGGATGACCCAGGGTCTGTTGTGCTCCCTTGACTTGTGTTCTGTCCTCTTTCAGTATGTGAGAGGTGGGCTTGTGGGGGTCCTTACAGGGACTAGTAACAGAGCTCAGCATCTGACCTTTAGACCCACTTTGTCTTATGGTCATAAGGAAGGACCAGCCATGCCTTCCAAGCCATCCTTTATTAGAGAGTCTTAAGCTGGCATGCCTCTGCTTGGGTAGACTGGTAGGGAGACTGTTGATTCCTATCAGTGAGTGCTGGTGGAGGGGAGCAGGGCAGATTTCCCAATACATAAGGTAAATTTGTAACAAAGATGTAGTTAAATCTATGTGCAATTGTTCACTACAGATTAGCAAGTAAGCACAAGTTAAGCCCACACTTACCTTGCGTATAGTACTCCATCCCTTTCAGGGATTATAGACTTGGAAGAGTCTTTGTCTATGGAAAAGGGGAGTGTAGGTGTACGCCCACTCACCTTCCCATATCTCTTTACCTTCTGTGTCAGCCTAGGTATTCATTTGTAGGTCCTTTGAGTTATGTGCTATTTTTGAAGGGTTGTGTATAACAGTGTTTACCTTTGTTGTCTTTTACTCTGTGTACCTCCAAGTGATGTCTTGCCTTTGCCACTGGTCTCATTACGCTGGCCTCTTGAACACATCTTTTTGTCAAGTCCCACCTTAAGTACTAATTAACTGTGGTTATCAACTCAGACAAGCTACTTCACATCACTAAATTCCAGTCTCTGCATCTTTAAAATGAACATAAAAACACCCACCTTGCAGATTGAGGTGAGAAAAGAGATGATATAAGTACAATTTAAAAGAAGAAGAAGAAGAAGAAGAAGAACTTGACCCACACTAAGCTATTAAGTTTTAAAAGCCCTTACAATTCACACATGTGTTCTGACCTGTATGGTCACGGAGGCGTAAATGTGTACCAAATTAAACAGAGTACTTTGCTTGTGGACAGACACACATGCCTTGAAGTTGTTCTACTTACTGATGCAGCAACTCCATCAAGCTGCCTTCCACCATGGTTGGAGACAATGATGCCTTGCACATTGTGCCTCACCGCTAGTTCTGCATCCTCTTTTGTCAAGATGCCTTTAAGGATGATGGGCAATTGAGTGATGCTCTGAAACCAGGAGAGATCATTCCAGCACATGGATGGGTCAATAGGAGTCATCTGCAGATGAGGAGTTGAGTATCTCTGTGGAAAATAAAAAGAGAACCTTAGTCCTGAACTCCTGTAAAACATCCCACTCCATTCCAAAGATGAAACATTCTAACTGTCTTCTATAAGTTTGATAAGAGTGACACTTTTAAAAACACCCAAACTCATAAAACATAGATCCAGGAATGGGTTTGGGGCTCTCACTAAACCTTGGCTCTAACTTAAGAACAATTGGTTTTTGCATCATGGACCTACTCCATACTTGCCCTCAGGAAGGGAACACAGAAGATATGGGTGATACAGCAAAATGTGGCAAAGAAATTATAGGTTACCTGACTATCAGATACAATAGCACCTGGGCTCTTAGAGGTTTGTCTCCCAACAAGCAGCCATCTCAGTGAGATCAACTAAGTCCATTTGAAAGAAGAATATCATCATCAGTTACCCAATGATTGTAAATGATATCATCTGAATTGTGAGAATCCAGTTTGCAGAAGGCGAGGGGTGACCGTGGGAGCCCAAGATCCATTTGTAAGAATTATATAGGAAATGCCTCTCCGGTGACTTCCCTCTATCGTTAATTGAGAATGGGAGCAATGTGGTTACCAAACACAGTGCATTGGAGGCCTGAGTGTAGAAGATCAAAGGGATAAACCTGACGTTGTCAGTTGATCTCCCCGTGCTGCATGCTGGACCTGATCTGGTTTTCAACTCTTTCTGTATTTTTGTTTGTTTGTTAATACTAGGGTTTATCTCAGGGGTGTTAGGCCATTGGGGATCACCATCTTGAAGTTGTGGTATATATTTTTCTGTTTTCAGTATATGAATCTGTAGGACAGCAAGGACAATAAGGGTTTCGGGGGGTGGGTGTTGGGGCAGTACAGGGGTGGGGTGGGAGGTGAAAGGGAGACAATGCTAAGGAATCCAGGAAGGAAAACTGTGTTTGGAAACGGATTCTGGTAGCAATTGTACAATACTGCTTGATGTGATTGAACTACAGGATGATATGATAGATGTATTAACTCCCACTTAATAATAACTTTTTCAAAAATCCAACAATGTTTCCAGCTCCTTTTCTTAACAAAATGTTCTTAAAGGAACTTCTACTTACTTTATTCCTTAACCATTATTCATATCCCTGTTCAATAATGATGGCAGGTAGTGGGGACACAAAGGTGAATAAGACATACGCCCCTTACTTTAAAAGACCTCAGGAGTATAGCAAGTGACTTGGATAAGCCAAAGCATTTATAATTTGATGTGTTGTGGTTGAGATATGCACAGTTCAAACGAATTAAGCAATAGGTCAATAATCCCAAATCAGACATTAGGAAACATTTACTCTTGGTTCACGATGTACGTGAATGGAGTACTCAGAAACTGCAATATGTCTCTGGGATCAGAGATAAGGATTCCAGAAATCTCAAGGCCAACTTGTGATTAGTGGTTGGAACGGCTGAGCCACTTGGCTGGGTATTGCAGCTGCCCACTGACGGAAAACCGGTCTCACTCTCTCTCTGCTGTCGGCAGCGGGATCCTGCCTTAGCACGGCGTTCTCTCTCGTAGCCCTGGTGTTTCATTCAGTGCGGCCATTACTGAGGGGAGTGCTCTTCGCGGGCATCTAGTTTAGAGATTCCAAAGAGGTATAATGTGGTAGTGTGGGGCTTCCTGGAGGAGCTCTAAATATACAACGACTGCCTCCTCAGACAGGCCTGACGGAAGACTGCAGGGAAGAAGGGAAGGGGGCGGTTGGATACTTGTCTCCTGTAATGCCTACCCATTGGCCCCAGTAACTTTCCTACCTCTTTGGGGGATCGAAGATCCTTTAGTAGTAAATTTGTCTTCAAATCCAAATTGTTTCGAACATCGTGTCGCCTGTTGCCAGGCACGGGCACGTCCACCGTGATTACTAAAGCTTGGAAGCCCAGGGATTCTGCCCTCTGGACCAGTTGTTTGGTCAGCAGCCGGTCTGGCTGTGCGTAGAGCTGGAACCACCGGAGACCTCTGGGAGCAGCGGAAACAATGTCTTCAAGGGTGCACGAGGCGTATGTGCTAGTGATATAGCAGATGGCAGCGGCTTGGGCAGCTACAAATCAAAGGACACAACATCAGTTGAAGGGTAGAGTTGTTCTGGAATGGGGTGAGAGGCCCTAGGAGTCATCTTATCCTGTGAGTCGAAATCAAGTTTGTCTTCACTCTGTTTCCCTGGAGGGTATGGATAGGCAGGGGCTTGATCAGACTGGGAGGCCTACACATTTGATGACTTGTCTGAATAATATGTCTTAAAAACACTCCAGAAAAAAAAA